ACGGCATTCCAACCACATCGGCATCGACTTCCAATACGCAATACTCGAGCAGCGCCCCTGCTCCGCCATTCCAACTGCACAATATCGACAGTATCGACATGAACGCGCACAATGCGACCTTCTTACCATCTCAATTTGATTCAAACAGAGGCTTCGGGAGTACTGCAGCTCAAGCCTTCGCGCCCGCCGGCGGCTTTACTTTCCAGGACAACGAGATGGACCTCTCCGGAGGCGATAGGGGTGTCGATCAGCCCAGCCCCGCCACAATAAGCTCACAGTCAAGAGGAGGCTCGACGTCACATTCTTCTTACTCACCAGGCCAACCAATCGAACACAACATGCCATACCGGGCATCTCCAAAGATGACGGGGCCAGGCTCTGGCAGCGTCTTCCCAGACCTCGCAGCTAATGGAGGAACATTTCCTACAAATGGCTTCAATCTACCTAGAAACATGGGCAACGAAGCTTATACTGATGGCTTCGTAATGGGTAACGAATGGGAATACGCAGCGTTGAACGCGGGGACAGGCCTGACGCCCATGGCAGACGCGTCCTGGGATTCGATGTTGGAAAGCGTCACGATGGGATGGGATTCAGTTGGCCCTGGGCATGAGAATCAACCGAATGCTGCTGGAGTATGATGGGATTCGTTGTTTGGGGATGTGTACATTGAAATAGCAGGATACCCACTTTCGCTTGGATTGGATTTGGTGTTAGGGCTGATAGCATGGGTGGGCTTGACTTTTAGGTCACGCGCACATTGGCTTCGCGTGCTTTCTGGTAATCGCTTGCCGACGGTTTTAGATGACGTAGTGCTACCTACGCATTATAGAGGGCGGATAGAACGAACGTTGTATACTATCATGTAAAAACAAGACTGGAACTGGCATACCCAGGTATCATCCTGGGTCCTTGTGACATTCCCCCGGATCCGTGCACGCGGCTAGACATGTACATCGACGGAACCACCTCGGATCGAAATTGCGAACGCGTTGACAGATGTCATTATCGAGGCGAACTCGTTGTTTTTGAAGCTAACACATCATATCGATTGCAATCGATACTTAGCCATGCTCTCGATGAAAGGACCCTGAAGATCCGGGGATAATGAGGCTTGCAGGGATGGGGGCGGTCTGCGTCACACCTGCAGTTGCTGGGCAACCGGATCGAGAAGCTACGTGCAGCATCGCAACCACATCACCACCGCTTTTTCGCTGCGTCGGGTCGTACAATTAATCTTCACTTCTTCACATATCGTTCTCTATCCCTGTTTCTCTGGGCAGAAAAGCTGGCACTCACGACTGGTGCACCGACAATCGCACAGCAAACAGAGCAGTAAACACCACGGCCGACGTATATTCGCAATGTTCACGTCGAAGGAGAGGGAAGGTGCTGCGTCACCAGGGCCTGGAGCCTACTATTCGCCGTCCCAAATGAGTAAGAACTATAGCGACGCCTTCGCACCTGCCATACTGACGATTGGCATAGAGAGCTATCTTCAAGACCTTCGCACAAACCGCCCCGCTCGTCCCACCGGAGCTCGACCTGCTCCTGCACACTTCAACACATGGTCGAATAGATCCAGCAACCGAATGTCCGACTCGACTGCCATCTCCTCCCTACAGCGTACTTTCACAGACCCTGTCGTCGACGCCGATGCACGTCCCGCTTCCTCGCACGAACCGAAGTCGCATACCCGAACAACCTCCAAAGCGAGCCTAGATGGAGTCGTAGCCAGTGTTGGAAGGCCACTAGTGCAGCCACCACGCGGGCGGGAGACATCACGGTCTTCGTCAGGATCGCGCACACCCAGCGTGCAATACCGCGAGAGGGAACAGCGCCAGGCAGAGCAGGACGAGGCACGGGCTATACGCGTGGCCATGGAGGACTTGGAACTTGCAAAGGAGGAGGGCAAGATATTCGAGGCTGCACGAGACGAAGCCGTCGAATTGGTCTGGAAGCATTGCAATCCCCATGCCGCCGCGGCGAGTCCGACCAAACCGTATGCATACCCGGGTCTGGCCAGGAAGAACAGCGCGCAGAGGAGTCGGAGCGTCGAGCCGAAGGATCAGGATCTGCAACGGGCCAATTCTAAACTGCGGAAGCGACATTCGATGGGCAGTGCCGCGTCAGGGAGCCGGAGTAGCAGCTTGCAGAGCAACGGCCGTGCAGGCGATGCCGATACATCAGCTGCTGGAACCGCGTCGCCTACCAAGAGCAGCTTTGATATTATCAAGGGTAAGAACGGCGAGTCACCAGCATTAGCCAAAGCCATCTCAGACCTCCCAGACTTCAGACAACGACGAAGAAGCAGCGGACCCCGTCGAACCATCAGCGGGAGTCTTTTCTCCAACCCGAACGACCAGATATACGAAGAACCCGAAGAGGAAGCACCGCCTGCTCCTAAACCCACCCCCGCCGCCGAACCACCCAAGACCGAGAAACTACCACTAGGCATACGGCGCAATCCCTTTATGCGTTTCCAATCGATCAAGGGGAACCCACTGGTGAGGTCCAGCACGGATCCTGCCATTGCGACGAAACGCTTCGACCGCTACGAGATACAGAAAAACCCACCGACCCAATCGAGAAACGCAGCGTATACCCTGAACTCGGCAGAATCGAAGCCAGCAGAAGATGTCAAGGCGGACGTGGAGAATGTTCCGGAGGTGAAGATGAAGGATGGCAAGGAGATCAGGAGCGACGAGCTACGTGCTGCCACAGGCTTTCGTCTGAAGGACCGTAGTGCAAAGCTACCTACTCCTACCGCGGTCTCAGATGCCCCAGGGCGACCGATCGTTTCTTTCCAGAAAAACTGGAATGTGATCGAGATGAAGGAAGAGATCTCGGCCGCACCTGATCTGACACCAAAACCTTTAAATACAACCAAGTCTGGCCCACCGCCACTGGAGCACGCCGCAACTGAGCCTGTCGTACCTACTATCAGTCTCGCACCAGAAGTGCCCAAACGGAACATCACCCCAAGACCGCAAGTTCCAGAGATCAACGCTCCTTCCGAGCCTAAAACCAGCCTCGCACCGGACGTACCAGAACGAAGCACAACTCCAAGACCGCCTGTGGCTCCAGAGGCTAACAGCTCATCTGGTTCTGTGCCCGCACCCGGACGGTTCAATCTGAAAAACAAACCTACCATCAACATCTACGAGGACCCTCCAGCCCAAACGAGACCTCTGCCGCTCACCAGCTCGCTAAGGAAAGCCAATATCCCAACTCGTCCTTCTGCTGCTCCTCTGCCTAGTATCAATGTATCTGACTCAGCGCCTGCGCGTTCGAGGACGACACCAGCGCCGCCAGTTCCTTCTATTTCCGTGTCCGAGACCCCGTCGATTTCGGCCAGGAAGAATATGTTCAACCGTGGCCCCTACGTTCCGCCAACGAGTGCTACGCCGCCTATTCCCAGCATATCAGTCAGCGAGACTCCAGCACTGAGACGAGGCTCTACAACACCTTCAATCTCTGTAACACCGGAAGTTCCTTCGATATCTGTTAGCGAATCACCAGCGCCAAACCGTGGGTCAAGAGGCAACGCTCCACCAATACCCAGCATCTCTGTGAGCGAGACGCCCGCGCTGAGAAGGGGAGCGACTACACCATCTATCAACGTGACTCCTGACATTCCGACTATATCCGTCAATGAGACCACAGCTCCGACTCGGGGACGCAACAGCAATGTACCTTCGATCAACGTCAGCCCTTCAGTGCCTTCGATCAACGTCAACACACCCAAAGGCTTCGGCCCAGCCGCGTCAACACGACCGCTACCCGTACCAAACGCCCAGAACAAATCCCACAGCTACAACGGCACAGCCACCCCTCGCACCCACTGGACCCCAACCACCGTCCGCACCGGCGCCCTCTGCGCCCAATGCGCCCTCCCCATCGCCGGCCGCATCGTCTCCGCCTCTGGCGCGCGCTTCCACCCGGAATGCTTCGCCTGCTACCAATGCGGCGAGCACCTCGAATGCGTAGCCTTCTACCCAGAACCCTCCAACAAACACGCCGAACGCGTCTCGCGCATCCGCGCCCGCCTCTCCGGCGCCGACATCCCGTACCTGCCCTCGCACCCCACCGCAGACTCCATGGCGCGCCTCGAGCACGACGACGGCACAGACGAAACGCCCCGCTTCTACTGCCACCTCGATTTCCACGAGCTGTTTTCGCCCCGCTGCAAGAGCTGCAAGACACCTATTGAAGGCGAGGTTATTGTGGCTTGTGGTGCTGAGTGGCATGCTGGTCACTTTTTCTGTGCTCAGTGTGGTGATCCGTTTGATAGCAACACGCCGTTTGTAGAGAAGGATGGGTATGCTTGGTGTGTTAATTGTCATACGCATCGGTATAGTACGAAGTGTAAGGGGTGTAGGAAACCGGTTACCGATACGGTTGTTAAGGCACTGGGGGCGGAGTGGCATGTGGGGTGCTTTGTTTGCGTGGTAAGTTTATCCCCCGTCTTTCCGTCTTTTGGCTCAGTTTGCTAACGTGGGAAATAGTGCTGCTCTGGTCCGTTTGAAGATGGGAGGTATTTCCTTCGCGGTGAGAGTCAAGATCCGGTTTGTGTTAGGTGTGAGGAGAGGAGGTTGAAGGCTTGATCGCGGCGACTTTGACTGTGTCTCTTTGCTGCTACTACTGCTGCTGTTGTGTGTGACAATCTACTGTTGAGCGTATTTGCATATTGTTCGCATACATTGGTGTTTTGGGCATGGAGAACGGCGCTGTTTGGGCGTTTTGGGTAGCATAAAGGTAGTTGGGGAGTTGTAATATGAGAATGATGTTTGCAAATCATGTTGAAATTGTGCGTGATGGCTGGTGGATACATGGAGAAATCGTTATATTTGGGGATGTGTACTGATCGACGCACTGATCCTTACAATCACCTTATACAAGGAAAAGTATAAACAGGTTTGCAGACTACATCAAAACAAAAGCTTAGCCTGACGTCAAGGTAGGCTCTAGGGTGTGCCTTCCGGCCCCGTGAAAGCCGCCTACTTTAAGCTTATAACACCTGGTCTTGTGTTGACCCGTACACCGCTGTACGAACGCACTTTTGAGGATTGCTTTCGCTGTGACCTATGTTCTTCGAATTCAGTTACCCTTTCATATCGGCTTGCTCCTACCGACAAGCTCCTTTTACGGGGATCCACGCGGGCCAAATGCTGGTCAGCCGATCCTTCTTCGGTAGCCGGCTTCCCATAGTAGAGAACTTTCTTTTCTGTTTCGCAAGTTCCTTGGTGTGGTTTCTCCCGAAGGAAGCTTTCTAGGCTGTAGTACCACGCCTGGCTGATGATTTTCGCACATGCTTCGTCAATAGTGAGACCCTTATTCTTCCGCATGTATTGCCGGGCAGTGAGGCTAGGGTTATCGGGGGAATCTTCGTGTCCACGAACGAGGTGGTCGACAGTCATTTTATGCAACATGACACCCTCCAGGAATTTGTTGTTGACTCCTTTCCGAACGAGCCTTAGTGCTTTCTTAGTCCATTTGTTGATTGTGTCATTCTCCCATTCGGTCGTTTGATCCTCCATAATGGTTAGGGTATCCGGACAACTCTCCTCTTTCTTCTTCGTCTTCTCCAGTTCCCAGGCCATCGAAAGCTGTCCATCATTGTGACGAGGTATCAGTTTGGTAGGGCTAGCCATGAGTGGGCAGGTAGTTTCCGTAACTTCTATTAAGTTGTTAGCATAAACAGTAAGATATCTTAGGACAGCCTTAATTAATGCGCGGCTAAAGCGTATCATGAGGGATACATACTAGTATGAAGTTAGCAAGATATCTTAAAAGCTGCTCGTGACGACTACTTTACCCTTGCCGATTCTCAGCCAAAAAGAGGCGAACCGTGAAATGTACTGTGAGTCTGTGAGACTGATGGAGTGCATCGTATTGTTCAGCATCATGTCTCAATATCGTTTCTCGAGCTTGAATTCTGGCATCAGAGAATTTGCCCCCGACCCTAGAGCGGTTTACATTGCCTATAGATGAGTGTCAACACTTTATCACCTGTCTTGCGCACGGCTTCATGGCACATACCTTGGCTTAGCGTATGACTCAGACAGGGCCAATCAATACCAGGTGGACAGCAAAGCCTGTATAACGCCTCGCAATCGATGAAGATACCAGGGAAACGTTCTTGATACCGAGCCAACATCCAGATCAACGTCAGGTTTGCAAGACCACCATCAGGCCAGCCGCCCCCAATGTCAGAGTGATCCCCAGCAAACCAGCACTGGCGAATACATGTGTACCTGTCCTGTTCTTGATTCCAAAGTACCGGTTCGTATCTTTGTCTTTGCTCGTGCAGTGCTAGTGCCTGGAACGCAAAATCCAAGTTACTTGGCACCCTGTCGTTCACAAAGGAGAGGGTCGAGGGAAGTCGAAGCGCGGACACTGTATCCCAAACTCCGCAACTGACAATCTTGACAGGATGAATGGCCGAGTATTCTCTACCATCATCGATCCAATTCTGCATGCTGGTTTTGTTTCCTGATTCCCAGAACTCGTAGACATCGTCATAAATCTTCTCTAGGTAGAACGATCTTATCAAGCCTATGTCCTCGATTAGACAGGCGAGACAGCGCACCGTGAAGGCGCCTCTCGAGAATCCAATCAAGTGGATCTCTGCATCTTGATTTTTCTCAAATATTTTGCAGAGCGCGTAGTACAGCGAGTGGATAATATCGCGGATATCTGCGGTTTCATGTTACTTGCCATACAAAGGAGCAGGCTTTGTAGCCTTGTAATAACAACCTGAACTCACTCACCTTGGCCAGTCATCCGATAGAACATGTCTGCTGCTTTGGCAGGGTTCACAATGCTGGACCCCTCAGGTGCACGAGTTCCCGCACCTGGATGATATATGTGTTGAACGTATCTTGACGAGGGTACACAGTCCCTGAACCGTTGAACATTAGTGTTCTCCGTAGGCTCCCGGTTATTAACGGAATTCTGTCCAGTGCCATCGCATAATACGAATATCTTCATGGGCGGTTTCGCTTGCGAGTCCGCAGACGGTGGCTCTTCCCTCATGGTATGCGCGGTTTCCTGGGAGCGTAAGGCGTCCATAACGAGTTTTTTTCTTCTTTTGAATGTTGGTAATTCAATGGCTAAGGGAGAAGGACGAGAAGGAGAAGTTACCAGATCATCGTATGCTATGCATACAGCCTTGTTACTACCCCTCATTCCTGTTCTAATCCCAGTCAATCACAACACTGTAAGCAAACCTAGCAAATGAGCAGTTGCATATATACGACTTCACAAAAAAGGCTCGCCTAGACATCTAGGCATTGGCGTGGTGCTACGTATGTGCCCAATACCGTAGTGCATACTTATCGTGGAGTCTGCCGAAGGGACTATCATTCAGCCAGCCACCACCAGGATTGGGAAATGGTCGATGACAAAGAGCCCAGCATCGCTAATTCCGATGCCATACATCTTGGAAGGCTAATATACGGAAAGGTCCACCGCAGCCTGTGGGCGTTGCGAAAGCATGGCAATACCTGAATAATGCCTAGGCGAACGTAGCTACGCCATACTATAGCATCTCAAGCGCACCCTAGATGCCCAATATCTCTTGCAGCGCACGTATCCTTCATCGAAGGTAGCGTGGCTCGATTGGTGGGGAAGTCTAGGTGCGTCGCGACATCCGGACGGCAGGTGCGAGGAGGAGATGCAGTCAGACGTTCTTTCACTTTTCGCGTGCGATGACAAGCTATTCGATTCGAAATCATGGAAAACAGGGAGTTGATCGCTGTCTAGGGAGAGCTGCGCAAGTCGTTGTTCGTGCGAAGAAAGGAAAAGAGGCTCAGAAGGGTTGTTGACCAGCGCTAGGCTCTTTCCTCCCCAGAGTGAACAAGATGACGTCACGCAGCTAGGAGAACATGACATGTGCCCTCAGTTCTCGAATATTATCAAAAGAGTGACAGGAAATTACATTGCATGGTACGAAGACTAAATGAAAGTTAGAAAAGTTGGCTTGTTCCACGGTTCGAGTTCATGTTCTTCTCGGTACCAACCACCATGATCACCTGGGAGTCATACGCCTACCACAATATAAGTGTACACCCTCCGTAGTCCAGCTCCTAGAAGGCTGAAACCTCTCCACATCACAATATACACGTACGCAGTCATGTCTCCATCAAAATCTTCGTCCACATCACCCCGTTCAAAACGGTCCAGGACTCTCATATCCCTTGAAGACGAGCAAGATTTCCTCACTACGCGGGTATGGTGTACTAGAAGATATATGAAGACGCTAGGCGAAGAACTAAACCACGAAAACATGAACAGTGCGAAGTACTGGGAGAAAGCAACAGAATACACCATTTTGGGTCGGGAGTTATCGTTATACCAGCTCCAGAGAGCAAAAGTCGACCATCGTATCGCTCGTAAAAGAAAGGAATTCCGGTCTAAGGTCAAATTCATGAGGACGGATAAGGCGCGGCTGTTCAGGGAGAGCATGATGGCTTGGGATTTGAAAGGAAAAATATACGAGCGACGTGCTGCTACAGCTGAAGAAACCGAGACTGAAAAGAGCACCAGACTGAAGTCGCTCATGCCAGTTTCTGCCATACCCCCATCGCGATTCAACGTAGAAGCCACCTTCGCACCCCACGGTTTCAGAAACTCCATCATCGCAGACCAAGGATTGATGGATCCTAGGGAAAAAGACAATAGCATGTACTGGAGTTACCTCTGGAACATATTCTCCGGGACCTACGAGTACGGAGGCTATCGGCGGTTTGAAGCTCTACCTGTTTTCGCCTCTCAGTCCAATCCAGACCTTGCTACCGCACTATTCGGTTCCAGCAACATCGACTCCTCTCCCTCTCTCTTCTCCTCATTCAACGGCCTTCTCCTACCCGATTACATGGGAGCACGCTTCGACAGTGGTATCATGGCCATCGTTCCCGATATCTCCTCCCCCACCTCCCCCTCCAAAATAGCATTGTGGAAAGATACCACGCCGAGAGAATACAAACTCAAGATCTTCACGCAGAACCGAGAGACCGAACAGACGGGTGGGCTGATGCAAGATATCAATTCCTTTACAAACGCCCGTAGGCCAGTTCCACTCCGCGATATTGACGGGTCGAAAGTAGGATTTCCTGTTTCTAGTCGGGAGGGTAGACCGAGGGAGTGTTATCTGTTTTTCCACTATTGTGTGCAGATACTGCGACAGGCTTGGAAAGGTCTTCCTGTAGTAGACGGGGAAAGGCCTGGGTCTGATTGGGGTGCTGTGGGGAAATATGTTGACCGTGAGCAGATGCGTGCGGTTATTGATGAACTTGGGGGTGAATATGAGGGCTTGATGGGGTGTGCTGGGCATGGCGTTGACGATGGTGGAGGAGATCGGTACACGCTCCTTGAGGCACTGGCCGAGCAGGTCATTGTCAGTAATCAGATGAACGGGAGGAGGGATGAGTTGTATGGCGATGAGGAAGATGATGATAGCGATGAACACGACTGCGACGACGATTGGTGTCCCATGAAGACGCCTTATTATAACCCAACTGATATAGCGAATACGTCGTATCGTCTGGACGAATAGTTTGGTGAGAAGACTGGATCTATATCTCACTTGCGATGTGAGGAGATGCATAAGATACCCCTTCGCATACCGCCCCATAACGCATGACATGACCTGGACATTTTCACTGTACAATATACTCAATTTTCCATTCTCGATGGTACATCTAATAATACAAAAGGGCCTTTCAATCAATCCATCGCCCCGAGTCAAACAAAGCTACAAGCCGCAAGAAAACCACGCTCAAAACCAAGCAAAAATACTCCATGCATGCAACCGTCTTTTCATGACCCACACCAATGCTTTCTTGCCAGAGAAAAACATCGTCCCGTCGACATGCCCCAACCCCCACCCACCCCATATACCCTAATTATGCAAGAGATGGACCTGAGCCAGACTTGTTATGAAATGTCTAGTTGACGTGTTGCCCTTGATACCCAAAAACGCCGCAACGGTTGCTGAAAGAAAAACAGGGGATAGCAGGCAAAAGGAAACAGGGTGTAAAGGGTTGACGTAGCCTTGCTGAAACAAGAGGCCTATCCTTTTGGCCATGAGAGAAAGTGCAGAACCTCCGACCTGAAATTGCATCGGGTGCATCAGAGGCTTACTGACTGCTTCCATGATCATATCCGTTCGAACCATTTGTTACGTCAAGAATCCTATTCGGCGCCGGACTTGACTTCTTGACGGGCGGATCAAGGATGGTCGGACTGGAAAGTGGTTCCAGGCTCTTGACGGGTGGGAAGATAGGCGTCTCTGACATTTGATGGCTTGATACCGGGCGCATGGCGTCATGTTTTGAGGGCGCGGGAATGGGGTCTGGGAGCATCTGCGCGGGCATTTGGGACGATGGTGATGGAGCTATGCGCATTGGTGCTGGGGCCGGGGAGGACATGTTTGCTGGGAGGGGCGCGGGCGAACTGTGTTTGGTCGGGGAGAAGGAGGGGCGGTTGGCGGAGCTGGGTGGGAAGGAGGAGTGCGGGCTGTTGAAGTTGAAGCTTGGTGGTAGGCCGTTGGTTGGACGGGGGGAGGCGGCTGGTGAGTGCTTTACTGGTGAGCCGCCTGGGCCTGCTGCTGATGCTGGGCGACTGAAGCTCCGCACATACGGTGCTGCGGGTTGTGGTGGGCCGAATGGATTCGAGTTGAAGGGGTTGGGACCGCCGAAAGAGCTGCCGTTCTGCTGTGGCTGTGGCATGTGGAAGCTTTTTGTTGGGCTGCTCGGTATCCGTTCGAGGTTGTACGGTGGAGGTGACGATGTTGGACCGTTGCCAGTTCTGTGCCCAGGAGACGAGAAGTGAGATCGTATTGGCGATGACATGCTACCGTTCGCGCCCTTGGTGGGTGATCCATATGCGGCTTCCGATCTTTGTATGCCAGGTGGACCTAGAGCTTGACCACGGGGAGAGAGACTCGGGCCATCGACCCATGGCTGTGCGGGATGCATGGAGGGCTGGAAAGCTTGTGGTCGTGGTAGTTGTACTGCGTCAAACAAGTTCGTTGACATAGAGGGGCCGTTGCCATTTGCTTCTGCTTGGTTTCGTGGTGACTGAGATGTCAATCGTAGCTTGAGAGAAGGGAGTTTCGGCTCGTCCGCCTCTCCCTCTTTACGCTTGCAGGCAGTGCAAACAAACGTAAACTTCGAATCGTCGGCCTGTTCTTCTGTGATGTCATGGCACTTCATGTGTTGCCAGACATTGCACTTCTCACACGATATTTGTGGGGTGTTGTCGTTCTACTAAAGTCAGCGGAATGCATGGTCGATGTGCAGTAATACTCACCAGGTTGGAGCCGTAAGTGCCACACTTCTCGCAGTCAAAGAACCAATCTTCCTCCTCGTTAAGCCTCTTGAGATCACTCTCATGCTTCTTCATCATGGCTTTCAGGTGTCGCTCCGATAGCCTGGCGTTGTTTGAGGCCAGCTTCTGTTCATTCTCGTGCAATTTACGCAGCTCCTCTTCTTTCAGAATCTTTGCCGTCTCACGCTCCTTCAGCCGTTGCTCACGAGTCATCCTGCGAGAATCCTGTGCCTCCTCCATCTTCTTTTGCTTCTCTTGCTCCGCCTTGGCCATCGCAAGTTCTTCCTGCCTCTTACGTTCCGCAGCCTCGGCTTCTTCAACCTCCTTCTGTTTCTCGAGTCGCGACGAGATTCGGGACGAGCGCTTCGCTGTAGCAAGCTTCTGCATGTTCTCCAACTCCTTCATCTTGCGGGCCTGCTTCTTTGCCTGCTCCTCTGCCAGCCCCTCCATGACAGGCATAACGT